GGTAAGAATTATCCTTTGCTGGTAATATTTGTTTTTCAAAAATGTACTGATGATGATAACTTTTTTTTAACTAAGTATTTCTGGCATTAAAAAGAAGCCTGCTGAAACATAGGGACAATGAATCATGGCAGTGAAATGAAAGAATTGCCCACAGCCAAAAAAAGGTTATATGTCAAGGTGTTTCCCTAAGAGGAAACAAGCATTTAAACAATCACATGACCTTTTAATCATAATACAATACACCATACTTTAAAAGAGAGAGAGTGACAGAAAGTAAACCTTTTAATCATAATACAATACACCATACTTAAAAAAAAAAAAAATAGTGAGAGAAAAAAAAACATTTTGATGCACAAAAAAATATTTTTGATTATGGTAAAAAGATTTTGGTGGTATAATTTGTATTAATCTTTAAAGTTTGGCTTAGTAAATACTAGCAGTAGAGCCCGGCGTTGCCCGGGGATGTAACAGTTACAGTTGGAGACGGCTGTTGCTTTGAAAGATGTGCTTTGTAAGTCGACAGGAACTAAGTTTCTACAAAACGTTGAAACGCAATGCACACAAAGTTTAAGCAGACATCATGCAGGCCCAAGTATTCGAAGGTATCAAAAGAAGTAACGGAAAGCCATTGTAGCATCAGTCATTTGCTATTACTAAGATATCTGTGAGTAAAAGCTGGCAGCAGTTACTGCTTTAATCAATTGGACCATTAAGCATTTGTGGTAAGTAGTCAAGGAACCACAATTCAGTTGCAACATACATAGGGATTGAAGGGAAAATGTGCCGTGAGGAAGCCATAGACATAAAGCATGTGCCGTGCGCAATCACAAACAAACTGCTTGTCTAACTAAAAGATGTGTCTTATGCCCAAAAAAGAAGTGCTGCCACGACCACAAAGCAGAACCATAAAACCGAGAGAAGAGCGAACAGTGACAGGGTATCATGGTAAGAAAATGTCTGTGATATAACTTCCTTTATTCTGATCTGTCACTATCTACATCGCGGCTGAGAGCCCTTAAAACCAGACCGGGGGTAGCCGTAAGGCCGAGCATTGTAATTGCAATGGAGAAGTGCCATCTCTTAAGTCGCAGTCAACATCACGCTGAGATCTCATGGAACTGGACCAGGGTTGCTGTACTTGGTGTGTGTTTTTAGGTTTTTTTACACAACTACAAAGAAAACAATAGAGCTGTATGGCTGACATGTTTCACCCATGGCAGCTGTAAAGTGTATATGGAAGCAGAAGCCTGAATTTCGTAGACGCAATTAATAAATAAGTTAATGAAACTGGAACTTTAGTGGAGCAATCATGTTTAATCTCGGTGTTCATGTGTCTAGCAGCTTGTGTTGCAACTGAATACGGTGAGGTTATCATAGTGTACAAACAAACGCGATGATGGCGGATGAAGGTATGAAAGTCAGAAGGCAGTAAAAGAGCTGGATAACCTTTACAAAGATGTCTTAGTAATGGCAAGTGGAGACTATGACGACCTAACATTAAAACCAATATGACAAACAAAAAACTTGCCATGCAACCGGACTGTACATGTATGCATGGCACTTAAACGCTACTGGGCGAGTTGTCTACAGGACCTCCGTGTAGGTTATGTTTCTAGCACAGTTGTTGGAAGAGTAAATGAAAACCCTATCCTTAGACCCAACTCGTGAGCACCCAATGTAAAGTTGGCCGTGAGAGAAGCACTGCTCATGTAAATGCAGACCTGTGATGCTAAGCGTCTGTCCTTGTGATTTGTTAATGGACATAGCAAAGCAAAGTTTCACAGGAAATTGTGAGCGACGAAAGTTGATTGGTATGTTTGCGTCTGACGGCAGAAGATGCATCCTGGGAATCAGAACAACTTCCCCCTTGCCGCAGCCAGTTGCAATGGTCACCTCAATCAGGTTCAGAGAAAGGGATTTAATAATGAGGTGAGTCCCGTTGCACTGTTTAGTTGGGAGCAAATTCCTGATTAGCATAATCGAAGTACCAACTTTGAGCCGAGGAATATGAGGTGGGAGTCCAGATGGCTAAAGGGAGTTCAAAACTTCTATGGGATACTCAGCTAATTCAGATGGATTAGAAGTTCTGTTGATAGACTTATAAACATGACATTGCCCGGGAATGCAATCCAACAGTTTAAGGCTGATGGAATCAACTGTACAGTTCTTCGGTGCCAATAGGGCCCTCCCAGCAAGCCAACTGGCATCGGCAAAATTATTGGCGAGGTTGTAGAAGACTGCATTCATCAATTCATCCAGTGATTCAACAGTGGTGGCAAGCTGATCCATCTGCACAAAACCCTGTGTGTCAGATGGCATTTTCTCCTCCCCAAGAGCAAGAAGGGACCGTGCGAAGTCAGCGCATCTGAAGTCCCCATTCAAGTAGGCACGCATGTTCATGCTCAGTTTAAGAGTCTCCACGTGGCGTCAAAGAGCAGACAACTTCAGGCAGGCGCGGACAGTGTCAGCGCACGTACCTTTAGAAATAACAGGTAGAGTCTGCCTAAAGTCACCTGTGAGAAGGGTTACTCCACCCATGGGGTCGGAGGAATCGTGGATGTCTTGGAGACTTCGGTCAAGTGCCTCAAGGGCGCCCTTGTGTGCCATCATGCACTCATCCCAAACTATAAGTTTGCATCTCCGCAGAACTTACGCCTATGGCGAATTGTTTGTTATGTTGCAGAGAGGAGTTTGTGACCGGCATAGATCAAGTGGCAACCTAAAAGCCGAATGAGCGGTTCTACCTCCCGGTAACAACGTTGCAGCAATCCCAGAAGATGCGACCGCAATAGCGATCTCCCCACACCGCCGTACCTCTGCCAGGACTAATTTAGTAACAAAAGTTTTGCCAGTTCCTCCAGGCACATCTAAAAAGTATATACCTCCACTGGAGCCATTTGCCCTGTCTGTTATGGTAGTGAAAGCAACCCTCTGATCAGGTAGAAGTTTGGGCTCGTTTTTGGTAATGTATGCGTTCAGCCCCTCGATGGAGTAGGATGTTTCCTGCAATAACTCAGTTGGTACAGTGTCAAAACCATCTCTGAGCAGTGGTGGTAAACCGTAAGTTGGTAAAGAGGCACCTCCCAGTTCGAAAACAACATCTAGGGCCACCAGCGCCCTGTTTAATATGAAATCTGTGAAACCACATTCAACTCTTGGGCTGTTATGCTGAACGGAGAACAGCACATCCTCTGACATGGATTCTCTGTACTTTAGCCAGAGCGACAGAGGATCGCTTAGTTCGCATCGCAAAAGCAAAATGGCGAACAGCGTTCAAAGCCGTATTGGTGTTCTGAGAAGTTCACCCTCTGCCATGGCTGCATCCCATTGGGAGTCATCTTCAAGCAATCCCAAACGGAAGCATGCCTCTCTATAAGACTGGCACTCTATGCCATTGACAGTGCAAATATCTGTGAAACTCGTTGGCCTAGCAATTTCATGAAGTAGAAGGTGGAGGTAAAAGCACTCCTGCTGGCTGGGGGGCACAGTATAAACACATCCAAGGCAAGAGTTAGACCTTATATCGGGATAACCTTCGACATGGTCGCCAGCCTTTCACTGAACCCACCACCAGTTGTTTGACCATATGTAGTAAGACGGGACTAGGGGGTATATCAATGTTTTGCCAAAAGCATCTGTTGAGCATAATTTAAAGAAAGCTGTTAGGGTTGTGTCTTTAGGGTTTTCTGCAACCTGCTGGGTGTTTTGTTCGGTGAAGTACATCCTCTGTCCATTTTCTAAGTGAACAGCAAGCTGCGCAATGGTTGGAGCCCTTTGGTGTATGGGGAATCTGAAAATTCGCCAAAAGGCCTCGCTACTGCTGAGGTAGCGTCTAGCCACGTAATCGGCCAACTCGTCAACACAATTGTCGCGCCGGATACCAAAAACGGCAGCATCGCTGCCTTTATTAACATACTTGCAGATGTACTTTATTGACTTAACCAAGTGGCAGTATTCAACGTTTATGTGGGCTCCAAAAGTCTTGGACAGCAGCGGGCAATAAGGCACCACCCAACAATTGTCCAGAGTGTGCCTCTTAACTGTTGCAGTTCTGCTGCCCTCAGCAGGGCTTCTACATCTGTACAGTGGGTAAACCATCCGTTGCAGTCTGCGTTTCTGAGATAAACTTACAGGGGTAACCCTTTGTGCAAGTGGGACCGCTTGACCAATATGACCTTCTTTGATAATTTGCGTCATATTGTTTTTAATGATTTTGTGGAGCAAAGGATCCAGCGCAGGATCTGGAATTTCAGCACAAATAAAATCGTCTATTTTGTTTACATCAACCTTAACGTTGAGCCACAGCAGAATGTGGGCATGAGGCAAACCGCGTTTCTGCCATTCCACTGTATACATATGACACTTAACGCGTCCGAAGACTTGCCCTTTAAGGATTAAATCCATAAGCTTACACAGCTGTAACCAGAAAACGTGGGTAATTAGGTCAGGGAGGTGTGAGTACTGCTAACCTGGAAAAAGTTTGCATGTGATTTCAACCCATTTTGGATTGCACATGAACGTGACGAACAATTCAGGTCTCCCGTAATGACGGACATAGGTCATTGCGTCCTTTCATCCTCAATACATGCATGAAAGGACGCAATGACCTATGTCCGTCATCCTCATAAGAGGAAGGCAAAATACACAGTTTGCCGAGATTGCGTGGGTCGCCATCAGAACGCAGACCATCACGAGGTTGAATGTAGGAGTCAGTTCTAAGTTTGGATTGGTTTAACTTGATGAATCCTAACCTCTCCGACTCCATTTTTGCAGCCATGTCAACAGCGAATTGATGAAATAGTTGACTGCACCTGTGCAAGTGGTTAAATTCAACCTCCCTAACCATAAACATGTAGGCGCAGTAAGCCCTACAGGAAACTGTCTTTGAGGTCAACATGGAATCGCTGCTTGCCTGGTATATTGGGATTTTGAAGTGGTACCCATCGCTTTCGTATGGAAAAAGAAGGGGGTACTGGAGACAGTCGTATGAACGGTGGGTTTCACTGATGCAGCGCAAACCACCGCCCTGGTATCATGACAATGTCACAGCTGTTATACTCCTCACCATGGATGACTGAAGCGACTTCATTACATGCAGGAGCATTGAAGTGACGCTCATGCTCACTGTGAAGCCGTCTGTCTGCATCGATGACAACGCTGAAAGAAGACGAAGAGTTGTTTTGCAACACAAACTTTAAGCTTTGGATGTAACTGTTAGTTTCGGGAAGCATGTCTTGTAGATGGAACAGAATGTCTCAACAAGGACTGACAGAAATATTGCAAGGTAGAATGCCAAGACGTGCATCAACATGCTCATTGTAGTCAGCGAGAAAGTAAATTTGTAGGAACTGAGGTGGCTCTCCCTGATCAACCAAAAGTGATCCCATTAAGTGGTAAACCTGGCCTTGCACATTGAAAGTAGGCATCCATCCCCCTTCACTAATAATGCGTTGACTCCGAAGTTGTACCCAGAAGGAGGTCCCTAAGCGGCTGGGGAGGTTCGTCTAAAGAAGGGAGTTTGATGTTACCCCCAGAGCAACAAAGCCCAAGTTGCTCACTGGCCCACTTTTTGCAACGCAAAAAGTGCAAACTTTATCCATGGCAACTATTTGTGCGTCTCTCCTAGTGGAATAGTTGACAGTGCAGTCATAATTGTATGCGGCATTTGACCAAAATGACACAGACGGCGAAGTTACGCCATTCAAAGAAGCCCGAAGTTGCTCATGTTTACTAGCCATTGATGGTGTACTTCAGAGTTTTCTGCAGCCCTGGCAGATGCAGTAGAACAGGCATTTCTAATGCGACGAACAGTGGTCTGTGCAGGGCTTTCTAAGTCTCTGGCAGACGCGGTGGATAGGGCATTTTTGAAGCAACGATGAGCGGTTTCTTGAGGATGTTCCGAAGCTCTAGAGGTGGCTGTAGCCCTAGTATTCCTAAGATGATGTGAAGTTGTTTGTTCGAAGCTTTCTAAACCCCTGGAACAAGCTTTGGCGGTGGCATCCCACAAACGACAAAGGGTTTTCTGTGCTGGGGACTGTGAAGCCCTCAACCTAATCACACAGACTGCGTCCTGTGAATTCTGAAGTGAACGTTCTTCAACTGAAGGCCTGGTGCAGAGTGAGGACATGGTTGAAGCCGCTGAAGCCAACCTTTCAGTCCGCTCAGCGGCGCTTTCCGTAGATAGGCGAGCAGCTGAACTCGTGGCCATCCGTGAAAGATGCAAAGAAGTCTGTTCAGGGGTTTCATTCGCCCTCGCTGCTCCGTGCGCCGTCCCAAAAGATTCCTCCTTTTAGGTGGCATCCAAACAGTGAAAACGTCAAGGAGGGTAAAGCTTAAGAGATTTCGACAAATCCAAAACGAAAAAACATACACTGCTAATGTAGACACAAAAAGGGCAACACCCAGTAAAATGAGATCAGATGTTACTAAAGGGGAACTTGAAACTAAAAAAGTGGAAATTTAAAAAGGTAACCCAAGGGTAAATCCAAAAAGAAATAGCTTTTTAGTACAATTGACTAACGTGCGTGGGGTTGGGTTGGAACTATAAAACAAAAAAGCAGCTAGCACACGTAATCAACGACTTGCAGTGTCCGAAGTAGGCAAATAAAGTAAGCCAAGTGCGTGCACGCGGGCAACAATAAACGCAAAAGTGTGAAAGCATGCCCGAGTCATGCAATAGAAGTGGCTGACCTTGAGTGCACTTACACATAAGCTGACACGCGATCACGTGGGTGCTATAACGTGTGAGAAATCCCGCGGAATGATTGGAAAGGCCCCAAGGTCAAGCTCTGTGAAAGCGACCAATGGGCTTGCAGCAATCTCGGTATCAACACGCGGACTCGGTTGTACGCAGCTGTGTGTGTGTAAAGAAGTTACGAAAAAGATTGATCCGCGTGCAGCTACGGTTATTTTTGCTGAAAAATTCTGAAATTTGACACACATAAAGGCAATAGTAAACCACAAATGTGTCGTAAATTTCATTTGAATCAAACCAAAACTGTACATACTGTGCCAATGAATGTGTTCAGAGGGCTAAATCCTGTCCCTTGGTACACCCGTTTATGGTTCCCTGGTAAAGTGGCTTTGACAGTCTTGCAAACAATTTGGTACTTGTTAGATAGCCAAGCGTTAATGCTGTCAGAAACTGGACCATTTGCTTTGTTTTGGTGGCTTGGTAACAAAACATGGTCTAAAGACTGCAAAAAATTTGCATAAACGGCCCTTACTTGTGCTTTCAAATTGATTTTGTGCAAAAATAATTGTGTTTTTCCAATATTTGGTGCTGTCAGAACCATTGCTGGGTAATTTTACATAGTCCTGTGAAGTTTTGTTGAAATCAGTTGAAAAATGTACGAAATCCGATCCCATATATAAATGAACAGACACACACAACCTGGGTTTTATAAGTATGATGATACTTTTCAATTAATAACTTAATAACCAACCTCAGACGATGGAAGGATTTTAAAATATTTGGGAGCTGAAATTGAAAAATTAAATTCAAACAAGAAAAATGTAAACTATTCTTGTAAAAATTCATTATTCGTCAAAATTTTGCTTTTCTTACAAAAATAATGTCCTTCGGTACATTATTTATAAAAGCAAATAAGAGTATATCAAATTAGATAGTTTCATTGAAGTTTTTATTATACTACTTGGAGCAGATTACGAAAAAGTTGCTTTAGACTAGGCACCGACACTATTTCAGCATAAATTTTTGACACCTGAAGTTTAAAATGAATAAAAACATTCTTGAAAGATTTCATTTTAGCTTCAACTGAAAGCTTAATTATTAAATTTATTATTTCCATTAAATAAAATATTCTGGTGTATTTCAGATAGAAATTATATAGATTGGAACATCAAATTTAATTTCGATTTCTTAAAATTTTCTTCTAAGTGGCCATTTTCTTAATTTTGGTAAACAAAAAAATTCATTAATTTTAAAATTCTTGCAAAAATATATATATTTCTGACGTAAAATTTAAAAAATTTAAAGTTAAATTAATCTGATTTGAAATAAATATTACTTATAGCATAAAAATATAATATACAACCAATTATTAACAACTGGTCCTGTTTATCTGATCCAACGTTTGATGGACTGTTGATTGACAAAGTGATGACAGCTACTATGGATGACCTGAATTCACATAATTGTCAGAAATCTAAGTGAACACATTTTTTTATTATTAACTACCTACTATTTACAAATGAACATATTTTCCACAATTATTTAACATTTTATTAACTTTTATTTACCTTTGGAAGATACAAAATTAAAAAAAATTTAAAATACCATAACATTTTCAATTTTATAATTTAATAACAATTATCATATTACTCAACTGAAGTATGACCCACACTAATGCAAATACATAAAATAAAAATATTTAGCGAAATAGTAATTGAAAAAGTAAAACTTACTTTAAATTTTAAACTTTTAAAGCTGTATGGAAATTCTGAAAACCTGTTGAAACGTAATTGCAGCGACCTGTGGCAATTTCGGTCTACCATATATGAAAATAAGGAACATCTTAAAAAAAATAAAAAAAAAATAAATATAAAATAATTTGAAAAATAGAATAGCGTAACTACGTTTATTAACCTTTTCGATTTTGGATTTGTAAATTTCGTTTCCACCTTATTAGTATATCACATCCAGGAAATAGCCTAATTCAGAATTTAACACGATTTTATAGGTATCATGAGATCGCTGAAAAATGAGCATAGCAGGATAATACATGGCCTTAAACTTGACAAAGAAAATTTTATCGTCAAAATGTTTATGTTTTTATTAAGAGGAAAGAACAAAGTAATTTTTAATTATTTTTCAAAATTTTTCTGTTTTTATTAGAGCATTCTAATTTCGATTGAAAAAGCTTTTTTTTTCATCATCAGCGAGTGTCCTGCTAAATCACATGGCAGATTTTTGTGTATCTTTTTTATTTTAATGGCAGTCATTAATTTTGAAAATTTTGCAAAAATAAAAATAATTGTCAGATTTTAATGAAACTTTCAGAAACTATTCACAAATGATGGAAATTATTATAAATATGTTTATTTTTTTTTTAGTCATGCTAAATATTTTTTTATATTTATTACCCCCTCCCCATAATTAATTTTATGAAATCTCATTAAATTCTAATTTGTACAGTTTCACTGATTTAATTAGTTAAAAGCACAAGGCTTTGAGGAAAGCAAATCATTTTTCCTTTTTTAGTTGACACCCTTCTACCTTAAAATCAGCTCTGAATTGTAACATACAAAACTAAATAAAACAAATATATTATTTAATTTCAAAAGCTTCTAGTTGCTTTTACTTCTTTGTAGGAATATGGATACTATTTTCTGAAAGCAAAAAACGTTTTTGATGAAAAACAAATTTTTACAACAATTGTTATTTCCTAAATTATTTTATTCTTTTTTTTTACATTAAAGTTGTTAAATGTTCTAAAATTAATGAAAGTTTTATAAACGTTAGTCAATGGTGTTATTAAGTAGATAAACATCATTTGCAGATTATAAAGTAAAGCTGGTTACAATCAGAAAGTTGCAAATACCTAAAAATCTAATATAACATATATTTTTTGTGTCCAAAAATAGCTTAAATTCAAATGTACAGAAGACCGGAAGTATCATGTGGTCACGTGGTTTGTGTTGGTATATAAATGTTGTTCTCTGCTGGTAGACAGCATTTTCATTTCAATACAGTGTCCATGCGAAACACGCATGGAGAAATTTTTGGTGTTTTGGTTTACTAAAACAAAAAAATTTACAGCCAAAAGTGATGATCCAGTACCATTTCATTTTTATAACTATTTCGTTGCAATTTCAATTTTTTTCTCTATAGTGTAACCCGGATACAAGAGAAACCCGGATATAAGAGAGATTTTCTCTGGTCCCAAATTAGAGCCTGTGTTAATGTGTATAAATTAGACCAAACCCGGATATAAGAGACTTTTACTCTGGTCCCGACAACTCTCTTATATCCGGGTTACACTGTATGAGAAAGAAAAGGCATTTTCTATAGTCATATTACTTAAGAATAAGATTAACGAAATTTGAAAAAAGTTAACAAAAGAGAAAAAAAAATTGTAATATTTCAAATGATAAGGGTACCTAAAAGTATTATTTACCTAAGGGTACTAAAGTATCATGTACCTATCTTTATGAAATTTTTATTTTTACTCACTTATAATATCTTTCTATATGAAATATCAAAATTAATAAAATGAATGGAAATACAAATAATACCGTAAAATATAATAAATGCATATTAAATTATTACTTAGCCTTTCATAAGAAAGGTACCTAATTAAAAAATTTGTATGCACCTTTCTTATAAAATAATTTTCTCATTCTCAACAGTCTTAGTTTAAAAATTTTCATAAAAAGCATCGTAAACGTAAAGATGGAAAGCTAAGAAATAATAAAAAATTAGAACGTTGAAATTTTTCCTTTACTGGTTAAATAAGTTGGTTCAATAAAATTATCACTTTTGGCCATCCGTACGATGAATTAAGGTATCGTAAGCTGTAAATAAACTTTAAAATAAAATAAAAAATTAAAAAATTCTTGTAAAAGTTCATTATTCTTCGGAAAAATGTTATTTTTCAGACAGAGTCCTTAGTATCCGTCTATATTTTTGAGATGAAGTATTATGTAAACTATTTATTCGGACTATTGTCCTCATCTTTGTTGCTATATTTATATCACAAAATGGTGTAAAAAAAAAAAAAAAATATCAAAGGCGATATCGATAACGAAATTTACTACTTTGCCACGTGTTCTCACTATAGGGCAGTTTTGCATACTTAGGAAAGAAATGAAAATAAAATTATCGTTTGTCTACAAACGAATAAGCAAATTCTAAATAATCTTTTCAGACTTAACGACTGGAAGATTAATAATTGTCAGTTTCTAACTTTTTATCAATATCGTCAAAAAAAAATTTTGCTAACAAAAAAAAAAAAATAACAAAACGATTTGTTTGTCGTTTTTAAACTTTTCAAGTGAAAAGAGAAAACGTTTTTTCTTCTTACTTCTTCCCGTTTGTTTTCGTCCAATTTTTTTTCTTTGCCTCAAAATGAGGAACTCGTGAACTTGAAATAAATGAAAAACTTTCTTTCTCAAGAAAATTGAACTCGTTTTCCATAAAAGTTGGTTGGAAGCAGAAATGTTTTATGAAGAGCGAAACTCAAGGGAGATAATTCTGGATAAAAATGGTTTTTATTTTTTTGATTCGGAAAGCTGATAATCCTAACGCAAAGAATTTTATTTTTGCAGGATCGGCGCGTCTTATCCCTGACCGAAGTCAGGAAGCGATATTTCTGGGGCCACCCGCCATTTTTTCATCACTGTTTTATGGCCATACGCCATTTTTTAAAATTATTTTCCCTGGAACCGCCGACGAGGTTGCAGTCTTTAAAAAAAGTTTAAAATTTAAAGTAAGTTTTACTTTCTTCAATTACTCTTTAGCTAAATATTTTTATTTTATGTATTTACATTAGTGTGGGTCAAACTTCAATTGAGTAATCATATTTCATTTGTTATTAAATTACAAAATTAATTGAAGAAAATGTTATGGTATCTTAAAGATACCATAACATTTTCTTCAATTAATTAAGAAGATACTATCTTAAATTTTTTTTCATTTTTGTATCTTCCAAAGGTAAATAAAAGTTAATAAAATGTTAAATAATTGTGGAAAATATGTTCATTTGTAAATAATTAGTAGGTAATTAATAACGAAAAAATGTGTTCACTTAGATTTCTGACAATTATGTGAATTCAGGTCATCCATAGTAGCTGTCATTGCATTGTCAATCAACAGTCCATGAAACGTTGGATCAGATAAACTAAACAGAACCAGTTGTTAATAATTGGTTGTATATTTTTATGCTTCAGTGTAACCCGGATATGAGACAAACCCGGATATAAGATAGATTTTCTCTGGTCCCAAAGTGTTCCCATACTTACCTAAACAAAATAGACCAAAACCGGATATAAGAGAAACCCGGATATAAGAGACTTCTTCTCCGGTCCCGACAACTCTCTTATATCCGGGTTACACTGTATAAGTAATATTTATTTCAAATCAGAATTTAACTTAAATAACATGTCAGAAATATATATGTATTTTTTGAAAGAATTTTAAAATTGATAAATGTTTTTTGTTTACCAATCTCTTAAAATTAAGAAAATGGCCACTTTTAAGAAAATTTTAAGAAATCGAAATTAAATTTGACGTTCCAATCTATATGGTTTCCATCTGAAATAAACCAGAATATTTTATTTAATGGAAATAATAAATTTAATAATTAAGCTTTCAATTGAACCAAAAATGATATCTTCAAGAATGTTGTTTTTCATTTTAAAAAATTAATTTTTAACTTCAGGTGTCAAAAATTTATGCTGAAATAGTGTCGGTGCCTAGTCTAAAGCAACTTTTTCGTAATCTGCTCCAAATAGTAAAATAAAAACTGCAATGAAACTATCTAATTCGATATACTTGTATTTGCTTTTATAAATAATATTAAGGACATTATTTTTGTAAGAAAAGCAAAATTTTGACGAATAATGAATTTTTACAAGAATAGTTTACATTTTTCTTGTTTGAATTTAATTTTTCAATTTCAGTTCAAAAATATTTTAAAATTCTTCCATCGTCTGAGATTGGTTATTAAGTTATTAATTGAAAAGTATGTTTATTAAGCGAAACGGTAAATTTTCATTTTAACACCCGAACGTCACTCACTGCTGAACAACTTTTTCAGAAATTAGTACGTACTTCCGTAAAGCGATTTTTTTTTTGTACTTAATTTAAGAAGAAAGTTAACTTTCAAATATAAACATCGACAAATAAAAGAACAAAAGAAAAACATAACCCTAATTTGAAAGTTAACTTTCTTCTTTAAAAAAAAAAAGAAAAAAAAAAGAATAACCAAAAAAAAAAAAACACCTAACTCTAATTTGAAAGTTAAGTACAAGGAATTACTGTGAAGGAAGTAAATAGGCCCAAATTGTATACGTCCACTGACAGAATTCAGCACTTAATTACTTATCAATAAGCCGATAATGGCTGATGAAAGACCAGGAAAAAGTCCGATGTTTTTCGGGCCGTTAACATCCAAAAAGGTAGGTTTCTTTAATTGTTGATTTGAGTTCAGCATATACATTTGCACGGAAATAAGACTATTTGGGAAAAATTTGAAGGGATATTAGCGCTCGGGTGTTAAAATGAAAATTTACCAGCGAAACTTTAAAGATTAGTACAAATTATATCCCACCAATGTTTTTTTCTTCTCTCTCTCTCTTTTTTTTTGTTTTTAAGTATGATGTATTATGGTTAAATGGTCATGTGATTGTTTCAATGCTTGTTCCCTCTTAGGGAAAACACCTTGACATATAACCTTTTTCGGCTCTGGGCAATTCATTCATTTCACTGCCATGTCCCTATGTTTTGTTTTGGTCAAGTTTGGTGTCGTTTTCATCCTGCTATGCTCTTTTTTAGCAATCTCATGAAGGTACCTACTTAAATTAGTTTCATGAAATTTTCTGGAATTTCAAATTGTCTAAAAATCGTTTTGTAATACTTAAAAGTACGACTTCTTGGAGAATGTAACTCAACAAATACCTTCCCTCCCATCTATCACCAAATCGCAAAATAAAGCTGCAATAAAACTAGATAATTAGTTAGGCTCTTATTTGCTTTTATAGATGTACATTAAGGACATTATTGTTGGAAGGAAAGAAAATTTTTGATGAATAATGAAGTTTTACAAGGATTGGTTGCATTTTTCTTGTTTCAATTTAATTTTTCAGTTTCAAAAATGTTTTAAAATTCTGCCAAAAATCGTCTAAGGTTGGTTATTAAGTTATTAATCGAAGACTATATTTACAAGCCAAAATTAAAAGATTTATACAAATCATCCCACAGAAATTTTTTACCATAATTAAAAAAAAACATTACAGTGTTTTTTGTTTCTTGAATTAAAAAATTGAATCCTTTAGCTTTCAATTGAAACTGGGGGAAAGCTTCAAAAAGGATTTTTCCTTTATCAAAAAGATATTTAAACCTAAGGTAAACCAAAGTAAACACCATGTACCAAAAATCTGCTCTGGACCATAATATGAAAAATGCATTAAAAGTAGGTACCACTAAAATCGTGATACCTAAGGTTTCAAATGAATTTTTATCAATGAAAAAGCTTTCATTTTAGCTTTAATTGCAAGCTAAAGGATTAAATTTACTACAGTGTAACCCGGATATAAGAGAAACCCGGATATAAGTGAGATTTTCTCTGGTCCCAAATTAGAGCCTGTGTTAATGTATATAAATTAGACCCGGATATAAGAGAAACCCGGATATAAGACTTCTTCTCCTGTCCCGGCAACTCTCTTGTATCCAGGTTACACTGTACTTGCAGAGTGCTCTGGAACATTTCAAACAAATTATATTGATTGGAATTGGTGTATCTTTTTTTTTTTTTTTTTTTCTAAAATAGCTGATTAGCACCCTTTTTGGTTATTTTTTTCATCGCATTTATTTTTTATATTAAAATCTTCCAAAAAATTTTTTTTTTTCTGAAACTTTATATAAGGAATATTACCTGATTTAAAGTATGATTAATCTGATGTGAAAAATATTATTTACTTTAAGCTGGACATAGCAGAGAAATGGACATTTAAAACAAACAGTCACAGTGCTTTTCATCACTTATACTTATAATGTGTTGACATGTTTATTGTTGTTCTACAAAGACTTCATCTGTTAAAACATAAGTTAAGAAAAATGATGGGTGTCTGCTTTTCTGTATAATTTTTAAGTACTTGGCAATTTTAAACATTTTTAAAATATTCTCCATAATCTAATTTTAGGAATGTTGTCTTTAAATTTACTATAGTCATCGATCTTATTTTTTGATAATGTCACGTGTGGTCAACCATACTTCCAAAATGGTCATGTTTATACAGATAGAACAATTTTCTTCTAGAAATCTTGGTGGGTGATAATTTGTATTAAGCTTTTCAATATTCAGTTACTAAATATAGTTTTTGGAGGCACAGTGGAATTATTGATAGTGGCTCAGATTGAAGAAATGGAGAGCCAAGTTCAAGATCCACTCAAATCCATTACATTCATTTATATGCTAATACCTTTTGGGAAAAGTTTAAATCCTCATCTCCTTCCCTCAGCTATGGGTAAATAGCAGGACAGACCGAGTTACTTAGCCTTGGATGGCAACTGGTCTACCGCAGAAAGAAATGGCAACCCGCTGCGGGCAAAAATCTGCCTCGTCAGTCATGTATCAAAAGATACATGCTCGCCTACATGTGTATCATGTATGTCACATAACTGACTGACGGAAATATAGTCTTCACTTAATAATTCAATAACATAATGAGGAGAAAGTTTTGAAGAATTTTAAGAAGATCTTTGAAATTCTATAAATTATTATAATTAAAAAAAAAATAAATCATTCTTGTAGAAATTAATTACTGATCAAAAAAATTTTTTCTTCAGACTATAATGTCCTTAATATGTATTATTTATAAAAGCTATTAAAAGCTTATCTAATGTGATAGTTTTATTACAGTTTTTATTTTACAATTCGGAGCAGATTTTTGGGAACTGAGTAACAATTTGAGAAGAAAAATGGATCATTTACAGTCTCCAAGGACTTCTGCATTTAACTAATAAAAAAAATTTGGAGGATGGATTTTTATTTGAAGAAATTTCATGAAATTAAGTTGTGACAGGGTAACATGTAAAAATAATAATTTCAAAAATAATTTTCTTCATTACTGAAGAAGTAGTCTTGATAATTTCATTAAATTTTGACAATTATTTGATTTTTGCAAGAATTTTCAAACCAATGTATTTTTTAGCAAAATATGTCTGTTAAACCATTGACTTGTAAAAAAATGACAAGATTTTAACAACAATTTTGAACAGGTTAAAAGGTGAAAAAATTTTTGAAAATAATTAAAATATCCTCTTAATAATTTTTTTTACAATAATTGTTCTTATTCTTTTTAATAAATATAATTTATAAAGTTTTTAAATATCATTATTTGCAATTATGTTACATTTTAGCAATGAAGAAGTGTCACACTTATTAATATGATGTCCCTCAGGAAATAAATTTTAAA